GATGCCGTGCTTGAATCACATTACATTGGGAGATTACAGAGAGTTAATATTAAAAAGTACATTGAGGTTACTAGCTTGAGGTATAGATACGATCAGATTACGTCGACGAAGCAGGTGCAATGTTCGCCAGGTGCTGTATGCAGGTGTGCCGCACTCACTTGATGAGGAGCAGGTGTGCCGCATTACAATGTGCCGCGAACGATGTGCCGCGTTGTCGAGCAGACATTCATAAAAGGCAATAACCAATACAGTTAGTTATCCTCATTTGTACATATGTGAAGCTCTGGAATCTTCTGTGTGTACTTGCAACAGGAGTCTTCACCACCAGCATTCAGATTGGAGATCAGCCAGCAGCCAGGAGATGATGACCAATACGTTTCAGAGTTTCGTTTTGAGATCATGTCTTATCAGTGGAACACTTTCTTTCAGAAAAGTGTCCATTCTTAGTCAGTAGTATTCTACAATTCACTTAATTGTGAATTGGTGCATCCTCAGTTCAGATTAAGTCTCTTATTCAGTATTAAATTACTGGATTCTCAAGTCATGTAATCAGTAAGTATAAGCTTTAAGTTAAGCTTGTACATTCCAGTTTTAGTATTTCCGAGGACGGAAATATTTAAGGGGGGTGGATTGTAACGCCTCGTATTTTATTAATAAAGGAAATACTAGCTTTCAGTTTTAAGCTAGCTTTTATTAATAAATAGTCATGTTCATGTTCAAGTTCAGATTGATCAGTCAGTCATATTCTATGTTCGACTATTAGTCGATAAGTTATTCGGTTTACTTATTTTAGTAACCGAATAGGTTTTTTCAAATTTAATTCCGATTCGTTTAATTAATTAATGAGTCCGGAATTAATTATTCAGTCAACGACATTCCGTCAGCTTATCAGTGTAAGTTATGTTTTTAAGTTCCGATATTAATTATCGGAATTAAATATTTTCAGTCAAGATTACCGAAAATTATTTTCGACGTACCGTTTACGTTCGGAATAATTTTGGTAATCAAGCATTATGTTTAATTAAATAATTAAACATAAGTTAAGTGATTAATTAATATTAATCACATTATTATAGCATAAAAGTCGTAGGGAAATTGTGAAATTTCCCTCAATTTAGGCAAAAGCCGTAAGCTTCTTAAGGAATAGGAAATTGTTATTTTTCCTTCTCATTAAGAATCCTCACGTGGCACTATTAGAAGAGATTGGTGGATGACTAATCTTGTTGAAAGATGAGTAAGCCTCTAAGTGTAATTTGGTGTTAACAAATGGAAGCAAGAGGATTAACCACATCAACACTTTAGCACCAAGTCCCCTTTCGATTTCCTATATAAAGAAGGACTTTGGGAAAATTTTCCCACCATATTTCAGCCCATATTATGTACTAGTAAGTTAGAGAGTTAGTGAGATTAATAAGGTTTTTCGTAAACCATGCACGCGAGTTAGTCGAGCACCGCACACGAAGCACGGCAATAGGCTATCGCACCCGGCACGCACACGCAAGGACTCGAGCGATTTCAATGCGAGTATTTAAGAAGGTATAGTCATCCTCGACTTATTTTTATGGCCATAAGTTCAATTTAGGTTAAAGTGTTCGAATCACGTTTGAGAATTTCTAGTAAGGCCGTGTTAAAGTTCGGTTGTGCCTAGTGAAATCGTGATTGAATAACTACTTGTTTTACCCGGCAACTCTCGTAAAATTCACGTTTATTTATTCAGTTTAGATCATTTCATGCCCAGTTAGTCCATGTTAGTCGAGGCAAAATGCTGTTTTAGGTGTTAAATAGCCCGAAGCCGTCGCAAGCGCTTATCGCGCGTGGCCACGGGCGGTACCAACTCATGCACTGTACCTTCAGTTATGGTCATGTTCTTCCGTGCATGTATGTTTAATTGCCTCAAAAATAATGTTTCATGTTCATTTGGTTTGGAGTTACCGAGGGAGAAGGTGTTTTGGTCGGGAGACGGCTTATCGCCGTCGGCGGCGCACGACGCGCTCGCCACGGCCAGTTCAGTTGATCATGCGAAGGTCATATTTTCAAATCATTTGATGATTATGTTCATGTTGAGTCAGGTAATGTTGTTTTACGTTGAAGTTGTCGAAAGAAACGCCGGACGACCGGCAAGGGTCGGCCGCGGGCCGTGCTGTCCGCACATAACGGCAGCGCTCAGCAGTGCCTGCGCCCGCGCACATAGCGCTGGGCAGTGCTCTGGCCGATGCTGCGCTGCGTATGACGCACGCATGCATCTCGCCATTCAGCTACGCGTTCCAGTGCACTGATACGGAAGTGGGTTCCGTACCCCTGTGACAAGAAGGTCGGTGGTGACCGGCTA